AGAGAGAGAGAGAGAGAGAGAGAGAGAGAGAGAGAGAGAGAGAGAGAGAGAGAGAGAGAGAGAGAGAGAGAGAGAATATGAATGAATCCACTTCCTCAAGTTTAAGATCCCAATAGTCACTCACGACTACCAGTGGACCCTAACAGGCAAAGCAAATATGCAAGATCCCTATAGCTGCAGAGGGGCCAATTACAAGTGCTGTTCTAGAAACTTCCAGGTACTTAGAGACATAGACTACTAAAACTCAATCTATCCATCAGGCACAGTCCTCACTCTCCATATATGGGGATAAAGACCTTTTCGTTGGGGAGAGGGACAGATGAGTAGATGCCTTCTGGGTCTGAGAAATATCATCTCTGTATACTTATACCTGAGCCAGGACCCACAGATCCTGCCATACTGTGTGACATGAAGACTGGGACCCAACTTGGTGTCCTGTGGTCACCAGACACAAACCTCCATCCTCATCTGATCCAAAATGGGCTTTACTGAAAGGTCTCACATAGCATAGCCCAGGCTAGCCTTGAACTCTTGCTCCTCATAACTGCTGGAATTACAGGTGTGAGCCAGTGAGGTAGTTTGAATATGCTTGGCCCACAGAGAGTGGCACTGTTTGGAGCTGCGGCCTCATTTGAGGAAGTGTGTCACCGTGGGGGTTGGCTCTAAGACACCCCCCCCCCATGCTGGTTGGCCTGAAGCCAGTCTTCTGTTTGCCTTTGGAACAAGATGTAAAACTCTCAGCTCCTCCAGGGCCATGCCTGCATAAACGGTGCCATACTTCCCGCCATAATGGATTGAACCTCAGAACCTGTAAGCCAGCCCCAATTAAACGTCCCTTCTAAGAGTTGCCTTGGTCATGGTTTCTCTTCACAGCAGTGGAAACCCTAAAGCATCCAGCATCCACCTTTCAACTCCAAACCTCACCCAACACACCCAACTTCATCTGAGCTGTCTGGCCCACGCAGAGCACGGGCTTTCCCCTGCCTCAGCATCAAGTTAGCTCTGAACATCTCCCACATCCCCTGCAGGCTTGGCCTCCTGTTCCCTTGCCTGGTCCCTGGCATATCAAATCTACAACAGCAATCTGGTATTTGTGTCAATTTGTCTTAGTGCTGCTTCGCTTGGGGAAACGAAGGCCACCGATGCCCCTCACAGAACAGTGTGTATTCCCTATAGGCAATTCAATTCAATATCAATATCCATGACCCTTTCTGCCCTGTCCAATGAATATGAATGTTATTCTGTATTTCATACTGGACCGCTAACCAGCAGTATCCCTTTCTGGCTTTCTGTTAACACAGCCAGAGCCTTTGGCCAGTGTTCAACCTTCTGCCCTGGGGCTGAGCAAGGCTAAGAACTTGCAGCAGGATGCTCTCTCCTTAGGCCAAGGGTGGCCTCTTTTGGGAGACAGAACCTGTAGCTGGCTGCAGCCTCTCCATTCTTTACCAAAGTTTCCAAGTTACAGGAGTCCCAGCAGGGGAAACGCTGCTCTTGCCAGCAAAAGATCCTGTGTCCCATCTGGCATTCCCCAGAACAGAGCTGAGTATTTCCCACCATATGCTAGGGTAGGGTGTAGTTTTTGGCCTGGACATCCTGGTTCTTGTAAGGCCAAGATGCACATTGAGCAAAGGACAAGTTACTGCTTGCCCCGAGAAGAAAGCACATGAATATACACGACAACTGGCAAGCCATTTTTGGAAGGCTCCAGGCTATGGCCATTCCCAAGTTTCTAAGACAAGAGTCAAAGGCTGGCACAGCCTGGCTGGCATCTCCCTAGGCACGTGTTTGTGCCTGTGGTAGGGTTTCCGCCCTCTCCCAGGCTTTGGCAGTGGTTTTGTTTTGGGTTTTGAGAAAGGTCTCTCTCTGAAGCTGAGGTTGTCCCCCGACTCTTCTCTGCTCAGACTCCACTCCTGTCACCCAGTTTTGTTGTGAGCACGCCAAACAGCCTGCTTCAACTACAAGAAGCTGAGGTTCAAATTTAGGAAGTTGGATTTTATCCAAGTCAACACTGCCCTTCCACTCTGCCAGGGTGGTCATCTTTGCAGGTTAAATTTCTGCTCTTGGAATAGTTAACTGACTCTGGGATCCCATCTGCAGGGCTGGTCCACAATCCAGATCAAGCCACTGCATATT